GGTTTCCGAGGCTGTAAATCTTTACGGGAGCAGAAAGCCTCATCTTTCCCCCGCGGAGCGGCTGCTAGTTTCGAACTGCTGACCTTGCAGTTGGCAGCCCGAATCGTAACCACTACGCTACCAGAGCTCCTTTATGTACTTTGGATATATTAGAAGGGACCAGTCCCTTGAAAACATTGTTTGATAAAGTTGATGGTCAGAAAAAAGAAGACCCTTAAGGAGCTGGATTGACATAGTGGCAGCAACATTTGGGAGGATGGTACATTCTGTTGTGAAGAAGGTTGCTTTGAGTTGGAACTGACTTACAGCACCTAACAGTAACAACAACAGCTGGGCTCATCAAATGCACAAGTAGATTAATTTTTCTCTACATTTTCCAGGAGCCTACTTTATTTACAAAAGGAGCTCTGATAGTGTAGTGGTTACGAATGGGGCTGCGAACCTTAAGGTCAGCAGTTCGAAACTACCAGCCGCTCCGTGGAGAAAGATGAGGCTTTCTGTTCCCGTAAAGATTTACGGCCTCAGAAACCCTGTACAGGATCGGAACCAACTCGACAGCACTTAACAACAAAACTTTATTTACAAGTTTGTCTGTGGTTAACATCAGCAAACTATGTTTACATGGGCTCTTCTAAGTCCTTTTTCTCAGATAGTTCTTGCTCTGCTTGAACTCAAAAACATAAATACATTTCAAACCTGTTTTAACTGTTGGATCTTTCAGATCTCTCTACCATTTCTAAGCAAATTGTTGTTGTGTAGTTAAGCACCATCAAGTCAGTTCTAACTCATAGCGACCCTGTATGGGGTTCTGAAGACTGGCTGGTGGGATCGAATCGCCAACCTTGCCGTTAGCAGTCCAGTGCTTATCCTACAGCACCACACCAGCATCCCAATATTGCCAGTAGGTATTAAGTAGAATCAAAGAGTCCTGTTGTTGTTGTTTAAAAGGTTCATGTATGTGTATGTTCATAAATGAAAGACTGCTTGCTTAAGGTATTCAATATTTATCTCTGATAGGATTTCACTGGTTTTTATTTTCTTTATAATTTTCTAAACTTGCTACATTTTTTCAGTGAATATGTATGCGTATTTATAAGAACCCTAGTGGTATAGTGGGTTACACGTTGGGCAGTTCAAATCCACCAGCCGCTCTTTTGAGAAAAGATGAGGCTTTTTGCTGCCATGGAGTGTCAGAAATCACCTTCAGGGTTGCTATGAGTCAGAACCAATTTGATGGCACACAGCAACAACATTAGCATGGATAGTTTCATGGTCAAGGACAAAGGGCAATTGTTACAAAAGCCAATGATGGGAGTTTATCAAAAGCTTCTGCAGTAAACATATATTATCTTTCTTATAAGAAAATGAATGAAATAAATGTCTGTTGGGGGAAAATGTTGACTGCTAGTAATAGTTTCTTTGAGTTTCTGTAGTATATATTACAAACCCCTTCATTCTACTGTCTTTCGTGAGTTCTTGGGAAACCTTTGAAGGTTTGGTTGTCTTCAGTAACTGAGAATGTGTAGGGTGGGTGGGGCCAGTCACAGACACCAAGCACACAAGGGCCAATGATGTCCCACTTCCTCCAGTGCAGGCTCATGCCCACACAAGAAGCATTTTTCCACTCCAAATGCTAATAGCATTACCTTTGAGAAAGAAGTATGAGATCTCTTAGATTCATGTAGGAAGTTTCTATTTAAAGTATTTTATGTTTACATGATACTGAAATACAGAGTTGAAAACTGTTTGTATCTATGACTTGGCAAGACTTTAAATTAGATAATTTCTTGTTAATTTTTAGGACATGTTCTAGAGATCCAACCCAGGCTATTGCTAATAGATTGAAAGAAATGTATGAAATATATTGTCAGCATTTTCAGCCAGATGAGGATTTCAGTAACTGTACCAAAGGTAGGTTTAATATAGGAACAATGGTAAGTCAGTAAGTACTGCTACTAGGATTTCAGTTTATACATGCACAGATTTATTCCACACAAAATGTTTCAACATGTCTCTGATCAGTGGATGACTGCAGACAGGTTCTCTCACTAATACGTTTGTCTTAGTTTAGTTAGGGTACCTTCCAAAAAAAGAGGTCTACTCTTAATAGTGGCTTCTGAGGGGATCTGCTGTACCATGTAAATTCAAGCAGAGAAGCCAGTCAGCTCAGAACATTTATGACAGTGGTTTTTTTGGGTGTCAAAGGTGTAATCTTGGTAGTTTCTTGAAGGATAGTCACAGGGGCTTATAATGATGTTTTAAGAAGTTTAAAAACTGCATTGGTGAGGAAAAGGCCAGGAAAGCTACACCAAGGAACTTTTTTCTATCACAGAAATGTACCTGCTCATTCTAGGGTAGCAAGGGCTGTCCTAGGAGAATTTCATTGGGAAACCTACTCTATCTACCCTGAAACCGTGATTTTGCCCATTCAGATTTCTTTTTATTGCCAAAACTCAAAGACCATTTCAAAAGAATACGATTTGAGCCCTTTGAAATGCCAAAACTCCTGCTTTGATGTGTTGGGAATCAAAGAGCACAGAATTCTGTGGGGGAAGATTTGGAGAGATAGAAGTACTCCTTTCAGAAGTATAAACCTCACTGGAGAATTTGTTGAGAAATACTAGGTTCACATTTTGACATTTTTGTTTAATATAGGTTTCTGTAATTTATAGCAATTCTTTTTGACTTACCCTTGTATTGGCTATACTGGTCTGTCTTCATCAATGTTGAATTAAACTTGTAACTATGTCAGACATACTGGGAAAAGATTTATGACTTAGACTAAAGGCTAGGCTGTTAATAAGAGACATTTTAGATCCATCCTTTGTATATCCAACTTGTTGCACTTCTAAATTTGTACATTCTTTGATTTTCATTTATAAGATGGAAATTAAATCACTATAGTTGTTACATGATGTACCTCTGAAAGCGACTAAAGTCAATAAGGGTGATTGAAACAGTAACTCTAGGCAGTGTGTATGTATATCTGAACTATTGGGTTGGTTTAAAATTCTTAATTTTGTGTGTGTATGTGAGGGGTGAGCCCTCGTTTACCACAGTAGTTCTTTTCTTTGCATGTGCTTTTCATGTTTTTATTATTTCTGCAGAAATTGCCAGCAAGCACTTTCGTTGTGCAGAAATGCTTTACTATAAAGTGTTGGAATCTGTTACTGAGCAGGAGCAGAAAAGACTGGGAGACAGGGATCTATCTGTGAGTAAACTAGCCAATGTCTTGATGAACACAATAAAATGTACTTGGTTTCCTACCCTTCCCTCTATCCTTCCCTCCCACAGAAAAGCTATTACTGAAGAAGTAATGTAGAACTTTGAGGGAATAAGGATGATAGCCACAGAAATGACTTCTAAACCCTTTCACCTTTAGTCCCCAATTAGTTTTCCTCAGTAAAATGGGACATGAATTATCGCCTGAAACTTGTGTGGGTAGACAGGCTGGAGGCAAAGGTTAAGAAGTTCAGGCCTCGGCTTACTTGCGTTTTTAAATAACTTTGATTTTATTAGCACGAATAAGTTTATAGTACTTTAACAAAAATGTAATTATTTTTCCTAGACTCCACTTCATTTTCAGTAATTAAGAAATATAGATTTTAAAACACATTTATTTTAATTATGTCAGTAAAAATAATTTTAAAAAAATTTTTATTATAAAATTCACCAGTAATTCTTTTAATAACTTAATTAGAAAGATTGGTTACATGAATTTAAATGACTTGAATTTTTCTACTGTAAAGCATACACACAAAATGGTGTATATAACATCTATAATCTGTGGGCTAATAATAATAGTAAATGAATAACTATATAGTCACCTAAGTAACTTTTTGGTTAAAAATAATAAATCTTTGTATAAAATTTTGGAAAGTTATTAAGCAAAAATAAAAATAATCTAGGATTATGCCACCTGAGCTAACCATGCTGATGTTTGACACATCATTTGCTGGCCTACTTGTCCGCCTTTTAGCTCTCTCTTTATAATAGTGGCTTTTTAATGTAAATGCTATGTTATGTTATCTTTCCTTATCCTGATTCTCCTCAGCATCAGTTTATTTGTTTAGATTGGGGATTTAATCTTTTTTATTACAATTTTTCTTAATATTTAAGAGTTTTAAAGTTTCTTATTATTTATTGTGTTTTTGAGTTAGAAAATGGGGTTATTTATAAAGTTAAAAATAGTTTTATAAGACAACGAGCACATCTTTTCACTAGCTTAGAAAATATTATTTCCTGTGATATTTTCATTTAACTTGACTGGGTGTAGAATGCCTTTGGAGAGTGTACTGCTGTTTCTGAATGTTAATAACTTTGTTTTATAGGCCATTATGGAACAGGATGCATTCCATAAATCGCTCTTGGCCTGCTGCCTTGAGGTCGTCACTTTTTCTTATAAGCCTCCGGGGAATTTTCCATTTATTACTGAGATATTTGATGTGCCATTTTATCATTTTTATAAGGTATTTCTTAAAACTCTGATGCCAGTGAGGAAATTATAGATGAGACCTACTTCCTGTTGGTAGTTATGTAGTTCATGTTAAAATCTAAGTCTGTTCTTTGTTGTAGAATCAATTATAGATTTAATAGTCTCGGAGTCCTGGTGTGGCACTGTAGGATAATGTACTAGACTGCAAGGTCGGTTTGAACTTCAAGGTCTGTGGTTCAAACCCACCAGCTGCTCCTCAGGAATCCTATACGGGGCTGCTGAGTCGGAAATGACTTGTTGACACTTAGCAACAACAACAATAACAATCTGTTTGGAAGGAATCCCTGGTGGCGCTGTGGTTAAGGATTTGACTGCCAACCCAAAGGTGGGCAGTTTCAGCCCGCCAGCTACCCCATAGGAGAAAGATGTTAACAGTCTACTTCCATAAAGATTGTTGCTGGTTCCACTGCCATTGAGTCAGTTCCCACTCAGCCACCTGTGTATAGTGCTTCCAAGGATGTAAATCTCTACGGGAGCAGAAAACCTCATCTTTCTCCTGAGGAGCGGGGCTGGGGATTCGAACAGCCAATCATGTGTTTAAGAGCCCTACGTATAACTTACTACACAGCGGCCTTGGAATCCTATGGGGGCAGTTCTTCCCTGTCTGACAGGGTCATTGAGGCAGAACCAACTCCACAGCAGTAGGTTCGGCTTCTTTTTTCCATCTTTTTAGGGTGCAGAGAAGAAATAAGACAGATTTAAGCTCTGTGTAAATTCTTCACAATGTAGTATGGAATACCTGTTTTGGTTAAAAACTTCATCATTCAATTCTTCCCTTTATCTAATAAAGGCTTTTAGAATACTATGATTTTTGAATGGAGAATGCTTACAAAAAATGGGGGAGGGGGCAGCAGGAAGAAAATGGCAAGCACATCATGAGTGTATCCTGTAGACGCCATTGTTATTACGTGCTGTGGAGTCAGTTCTGACTCATAGCGACCCTGAACACGGTTTCCGAGGCTATAAATCTTTATGGGAGCAGAAAGCCACATCTTTCTCCTGCAGAACAGCTGGTAGTTTCCAACTGCTGACTCTGAGGTTAGTGGCCCTTTGCTACCAGAGCTCCTTTGTAGATGCCATTGTTATGTTAAATAACACTGATAGTCTCTTTCATGTGGCTTATGTTGTTGTTACTGTTAAGTGCCATCAAGGATTCCGACCCATAGCGACCCTGTATAGGGTTTCCAAGGAGCAGCTGGTGGGCTTGAACCGACAACCTTGCAGTTCAAACGGCTTTGCAGTCTGGCGCATTAATCCACAGTGCCACACCAGGACTCCTGATGAGGTGTATAGAGAAATGTAATTACAGTGTCGATTTGGTATTTGATATACTAATATTGATTTAGTATATGAGTATGTTTTAACTTTCATCCAACAGGCAAAACTAATTTTTATAATGGTATAGATTTGTTTAGTTTTTTAGTTATATTTTTTTAGCCTCTGTATAAAAGCCATGTTTTTTACTTTTCTAAAAATTGTGAAATACTCAAACATCATTCGATGAGTTTGAATGTAATTTATATGTATAATTTAAAACAATAACTATTAAACTAACCCTGGTATTTTTATTTCAGGTGATAGAAGTATTCATTAGAGCAGAAAATGGCCTTTGTAGAGAGGTCGTAAAACACCTTAATCAGATTGAAGAACAGATCTTAGACCATTTGGCATGGAAATCAGAGTCCCCCCTGTGGGACAGAATCAGAGAGAATGAAAACAGAGTTCCTACATGTGAAGAGGTTTGTGAAAAATGTTTTCTTTCTATAAGAAAATTACATCAATATTTAAACGTCTCATAGTCACCTTTCACAGAGGACATTAGGGTGGAACGAAGGGTGGCAGTAGGGTTTCCTCTGGTACAATCACTTTGTATCATAGAGGAAACAAGAGTCATAGAACTAATCTGTATATACCTCAAGGTTTCAGAGACATTAAAAACTTTAGTGTTCTGTTTGGTTTCCTGACCAATTTCTTTACTTTAAAGTAGTTGATATTCTGATTCTCCAAATCAATAATGAAGGTTAGTTCATCTTTAATATCCAATTATCAGATTTTCAATTTTTTAAGACTTCGGGAATGTTTCTAATTTTAGCATTAAAGTGAAAACATCAGCTGATTTTACTTAGGTGGAATAACTAATTTTTTTTCTGCCGTAGATTAGTGTATTTTAGTTCTCTGTTTTTCCACATATTAGCATTCTTTGTGAACATGTTCATATAGGTTATGCCACCTCAGAACCTGGAAAGAGCAGATGAAATTTTTATTGCTGCCTCCCCTTTGACTCCCAGAAGGGTGAGTGAAATTCGTGCGGATGCTGGAGGACTTGGAAGAAGTAAGTTTAAAATACCAAGGGGGATGTTTTAGAAATAGTATCTGGGGATTTAAGTTTCTTCTAAACTTGCAGGTGAAATTAATGCTGAGGGAGTTATTCTGTGCATTACAGTACCACATGGGTCACTTAAAAATGATCCTTTTAAGGAATATTTAAGAACCTAGGAAATAAACAACTATTTATAAAAAAAAGTCTAGAATACTCTGAGTATATTTAATGTGATCCTTAATGTTTGTTTTCTTTTTTAAAATTTTATTTATAAGACTGAAATGGAAAAACCAGACTTTTAACAAAAATATTATCAATTTCCAGATGATTTCTGTACATTTTAAAGAGAAATACATATTACTTTTAAAATCAGAAGAAATCAAACCCCTTTTTAAAGATAAAGTGGCATAGTTTCACAGGTCAGTTAAGAGAAGGACTCTGGAGCTTTGACTCTCTCAGTTGAGCTCTGCTACCTTCTGCCTGGTGTGGGCTAAGGCTTAGTGCAGTGGACTGCAAAGTCGGTTTGAACTGCAAGTTTGGTGGTTCAAGCTCACCAGCTGCTCCTCAGAAACCCTATACAGGGTTGCTATGGGTTGAAACGACTCAATGGCACTAAACAACAACAACAACCTTCATTAGGTGCTTGGTGGCTCTATACAATAAGCACTGGACTTTGAATGACAAGGCCACCCTTAGTTTGATACCACCAGCCACTCCACAGAAGAACGATGTCTTCTGCTCCTACAAAGATTTTTAAAAGCCTCAGAAACCCTGAACAGGGCTGTTAGGAGTCGGAATTGACTTGACTGCACTTAACAACAAACACCATCACCTTGTTTAATGTGACAACAGTACTGACTCAGGAAGTACAGAAAAGGGAAGCTTGGTCATGTTTTTGGTCTATGTTGAGACAGCTTCTTAGAAGATCTGTCAAGTGCAAGGTTTTCATTACATTCTTGAGATAGAAACCAGTTTAAAAAACAATTCTAAAAATCCATTGAGTTCTGAATACTAGGAAGGTATTACGAGTCCTGAGGGTCACTATGAGTTGGAACCCACTTGACAGCACTTAACAACAATTAGGAGGATTTTCTTTCTAGATTTTTTTTTTTTTTTCAATGTAGTTGACATGGATTCCTCGTGTGGCATTATAGGATCAGCATTGGATTTCAAACCATAAGGTCGCAGTTTAAACCCACCAGCTGCTGGATGGAAACCCTAGACGGAGTCGGGGCTGACTCGCTGACACTTAACAACACTGTAATTGATGAGCACATAGTATAGGAGAAATATCACTCAAAATGAATGTAGACTCAATCTAATGAAAATTTCCTTGTTTTTGGGAGAGGAGTCATAATGATGACTTAGCTACTTTCCTACCTGTTACCAACTCAGATCATAGATCTGAAGGCTTACTTAGTTGTACTTCATCTCAAATCTTCTGATTAGTATTTGACTATATACTTCATTTGCTTTATATGTATCATTTTTCCATTTTCCTGAGGTGTTTAATACCTTATTAGATAATGATCATAATGCGTTCTTTCTGACTACAACTTTGTCATCAGCTACCATGTAAGTTTACTTACTTTTACATCATCTGGAAATTTAAATGTTAAGCCCTGGTGTGTCAGAACTCACTCTTACTCATTCCTCTTATGACCATCCTACATACATTTTTTCTTTTTATGAGGTCCTATTTATTTATCTTTTGCTGTTTGTGCTTTTGTTATGGTAAGTAGCACATTGTAGGAAGCTAGACCTAAAAGTGTTGTCCCTGCTTTGTTTTTGAAGAATGTTAACAGTTTTCATTTGCACATGTAGGTCTTCAGTTTATTTCTGTGTATGACCCTGTTTCATTTTCTGCATATGGATATCTAGTTTTCCCCTCACCCTTTGTTGGAGAGCCTCTTCTCTCCCCACTGAATGGGCATGGCACCCTATCAAACATCAAATGATCATAGATGAGTGGACTTACTTCTGGACATTCAAATTTATTCATTGGCCTGTGTGTGTGTGTCTACAGTTATGCTGGTGGTTGGTGGTTATGTGCCGTGGAGTTGGTTCTGACTCATAGCGACCCTGTACAGGGTTTCCAAGGCTGTAAATCTTTATGGGAGCAGAAAGCCTCATCTTTCTCCCACGGAACGGCTGGTAGTTTCAAAGTGCTGACGTTGCAGTTCGCAGCCCGATTCGTAACCACTACGCTACTGTAGCAGTATATTACGTTTTTTTGTGTGTGTGATTTGAGTGATAGTGTACAGGGGAGAATATCGGTTTTTACACTCATCCTATCATATTTTGTTTCATGATTACAATCCCCTCTGTGCGTATCATTCAACAGTATTTGCTTCTCTTTCCTATGTTTGTTTGTTTGTTTTTGTAAACAAAAGCACTCAGGCATATATAATCATTTAAACAACCAAAGGGCACATTCTGCAAATCTGCCTCCTTGCCGCCAGCTCTGATTTCGCTGCTTCTCTGGATTGTTGTTGTTGTTGTCAGGTGCCATCGAGTCAGGACCGACTCATAGCGACCCCATGCACAGCAGAACGAAACAATGTCTGATCCTGGGCTAACCTCACTACCGCTGCCACACTTGAGTCCATCAGTGATGCCACCTGGCCGATCCATCTCGTTGGGGGTCTTCCTCTTTTTCTCTGACCCTCCACCTTACCCAGCATGACATCCTTCTCCAGCGACTGTTTCCTCTGGACAATATGTCCAAAGTATGAGAGATGAAGCTTAGCCATCCTGGCCTCCAAGGAGCGCTCTGGCTGCACTTGCTTCTGCTTTTCTCCCTTGATGGCCCTAGGGCCTGTTTTTGAGCTGTAAGATTAACTACTCCCCCCTTTGTGTTACACATCTTCTACCTTTACAGTTGTGACAATCGCAATTAGTCATGATAACAATTACTCACTATTGAATCATACATAAGACTCATCCCCATCTCTTTTTACCAGACCCATCTAGACAAGATGAAAACTATTCAGTTCTGCCTTCCCCAGCACACTCTGAAACTAAACTCCCTCTTGAAACTTTGTAAGCCAGTCACTTTGTGCCTTTATTCCCCCCCTCCCCATTTTAGGTAGCCAATGTTACATACATTTTTAAATGTAAAATATCCCGTTACCCAGCTTTCATGGATGGATGTGTAAGAGGAAATGAATGCTTACTTCTTAAAAAATTCTGACATGCTGTGAATACTTAAACACAGACTAAGCTTAATGGAATTAAAACCAATATATGTTTGTCCTTCTGAAGAATGCTATTGAATTTTAGTGATTTTCCATGTGGAAAATGACTAAGATGAGTATTCACAAGACTGGAGAGAAATGCTCCCAGATGAGCCCATCTAGTAAATGCTATCACATCTCCTTATCCAGTAGTGAAATCACATCTTTTGTATTAGGTAAAACTGTAAAAAACTATTATAGAAAAATAGAATAATTCCTTACATTTTTCTTAAATCATCAAAGTCAAACCCAAAGTTTAGTTTGACTTAAGTAAAGGTGGGGTTGGAAGTGGGTTTGAATACGTAGGGGCAGAGAAAAAAGTTCCTTTTGTTAATTTACCTGTAGTGATGTCCAACTGAATTGTCATCAATTGAATATAGCTAATGTGACTCCTGTCATTTTAATTAAATTATGAAGTATTTCAAAAATACTATAACTTAGTTTTTGGCCATAATGGTTTGGATGGAAGTCAGATCTCAGTCTCCTTGAATTAAACGCTTTGTTTGATTTCTTGTTTTGCGCTTAGGCATAGCATCTCCAGCCACATTATTTGATAGGTACAACTCTCCAGCAACCAGCACAACTAGAAGGCGGCTATTTGTTGAGAATGACAGCCCCTCGGATGGAGGGACACCTGGACGTATTCCTCCGCAGCCCCTCGTCAATGCTGTCCCAGTGCAGAATGTGTCTGGTGAAGCTGTTTCGGTCACACCTGTTCCTGGGCAGACATTGGTCACCATGGCAACAGCTACTGTCACAGCCAACAATGGACAAACAGTAACTATTCCTGTACAAGGTAAGGATGCAGCGTTAGATACTGAATTTCTTCTATGTGTGGCATTGACAGAAAAAAAATTGAGTGCAGTGACCCTATGGGTCAGAGGAATGGTGATTGGGAGGTTGTGATGGTAGATTGGAAGCCTCTGCCTAGAAAACATTTTCACTGTGTTTTATTGTGTTTTCTTTTCTTTTGTAACAAACTTTAGGTATTGCTAACGAAAACGGAGGGATAACTTTCTTCCCAGTCCAAGTCAATGTTGGGGGGCAGGCTCAAGCTGTGACTAGCTCAGTCCAGCCCCTTAGTGCTCAGGCCCTGACTGGAAGTCTGAGCTCTCAACAGGTGACAGGAACAGCCTTGCAGGTTCCAGGTCAGGTGGCCATTCAGCAGCTTTCTCCAGGTGGACAACAGCAGAAACAAAGCCAACCTTTTAACAGCAGTAGTCTTAGACCCAAGAAGACCAGCTCTTTATCACTTTTCTTCAGAAAGGTAATTTTTCACGTACCATTATAGAGCATTAACTTTGGGGAAATATAAATATAAGTATTAGATAAAGTTTGAAATGTTTTATCTACTAGGTTTACAACTTAGCTGGTGTCCGCCTTCGGGATCTTTGTGCTAAGCTAGATATTTCAAATGAATTGAGAAAAAAAATCTGGACCTGCTTTGAATTCTCCATAATTCAGTGTCCTGAACTTATGATGGACAGACATCTGGACCAGCTCTTAATGTGTGCCATTTATGTGATGGCAAAGGTGAGTGTGGACCTGAAAAGGAAGCATACAAAGATGCTACTTTGATACTCTTAGAAAACTGAAAAAGCTTTTATGATCTATAATTCTCTTATTTACAATTCAGTGTGTTCATAGATACGTACATCCATCATCACAGTCAATCTTAGGACTTTTAATTATCTCAAGGAGTTCTCGTATAGTGCTGTAGGATCAGCTTTGGACCGCGAACCACAGGTCAGCAGTTTAAACCTCCAGCTGCTCCTCAGAAACCTATACAGGGTTGTTACAACATTCATCTCAAAAAGAAATCATCTCAAAATCATCTCAAACACATACCTTTCTCTCATATGTACATCATGTGCAAACCCACATAATCCATTCCTGCCCAAGCCTAGTGACTGCTAATCTACTTTCTACTCATTGTCTCTAGATTTGCTTAATCTAGACGTTTTATGTAAATGGGATCATACGATATGCAGTCTTTTCTGAGTCATTTCTGTAGCTTAGTATATAATCTTTTCCAAGTTCATTCTTTTTCATAATCAAATAATTATCCATTTTATGGCTATCATCTGCATCTTGAAAGTTTGCTTTATGCAATATCCCTTTTAGGAAAGACGTGTTTTCACTAATCACAATAAATCTGTATTTCATTTTTATGAAAAAGGTGAAAAGTGAAACACTAGTAGTGTTCAGCGTTTGTTTTATAGCACGCCTTTGTAAAGGCGGCATGTAACCTGAGCGATAAGAGGGATGTCACCAAGCTCCTTTCCCAGGAACTACACTCAGCTCCTCAGCATCAAGCCACGGTAGCTTTGACCGGTGTCTTAGAGTTTATATGGTATTTGGTATGCTTTGGTAAGGTGCCCTATTAGCACTGTAAGATGCGCTCTAGAGTGTAAACTACAGGTTGGCAGTATAAGTCCAGTAGCTGGTCTGCAGGAGAAAGGTCTGTGTGCTACCATAAAGATTCACAGTTTACAGCCTTAGAGACCTGATACAGGGTCACTATGAGGTGGAATCAGCTCAGTGGATTTGGTTTTTGTTGTTTGGTGTGCTTTAGTAGGTTAACTTTTGGCTCTGGAAACACTCAACATTTTATTCTCCTATAAAAACGTTTCACAGAAATGTTCTACTTTTGAATAGTAGGGAAAACCTGTGCTACATTTCTTCATGAACATCCTGGATTTTCTCCCTTTGGCTATTGTGAGTGTAGTGCTGTGATTAACATTCACGTACAGGTTTCTTTTTGTAAGTGTTGTGTTTCATATACCTAGGAGCAGAACTGCCGGGTTCTATCTAACGATAACCATTTGATGAACTGCCGGCTTGTTTTCTAGAGTAGCGGCACCATTGTGCACTACTATTTATAATTTAACCTTCTTCAATACTTATCTGACTTTTTCATCCTGAGTGTGAAAGTGGTATCTCATTGTGGTTTTCATTTGTTCTTCCTTGACCACTAATGATAAGAGTTAGATAATTTTGGTTCTTACACATTTAGAATTTTGATCGATTGAGTTTTATATATGTTGTGATGTAGCGGTGGTTCAGTTTCATTCTTTTATTTTGTGACTATTAAGAGTTTCAGCACCATTTATTAAAAAGATTGCTCTTTCCACGGAATGGTCTTTTGACACTCTTGTTAAAAGTCAGTTGCCCAGACACACAAGGGTTTGCTTATGGATTCTCTATTCTATTTCTATTAATCTGTATCCATCAGCTGCTCCTTGGAAACCCTGTGCAGGGTCGCTATGAGTCAGAACTGACTTGATGGCTTTGTAGTAAGTTTTGAAATGAGGACAACTATGTTCTTTTTCAAGATCTGTTGACTCTTCTAAGCCCATTGCAATTCCATGTGAATTTTAGAATTGAGTAGTCAATTTTTACAAAGCAGCAGCTGGGATTCTGATAGGAATTGCATTTAATTTACGTATCACTTTTGGGAGTGTTATCATGTTAATAGTAAGTCAGATACCTGGGATGCTGTATATTTTCCCACATTCAACTATTTCGAATTCCTTTTCACAGTATAAGTTTTATACTTTTTTGTTATTTAAATAATTTTGATGCTATTTTAAATGGAACTGTTTTCTTAATTTCATTTTCTGTTTGATCATTGCAAGCATGTAGAAATACTGTTAACATTTGTATGGTATCTTGCAATTTTGCTAAATCCACCAAGGTTCTATTTCTAATAATTTTTTAGTGAATTTCTTAGGATTTATTGTATTCAAGATCATGCCGTCTCCTAATGAGATAGCATTAACTTCTTGCTTTCTAATCGGGATGTCTTTTGTTTTTCTTATCTTATTGTTCTGGATAGAATCTCCAGTCTAAAGTTGAATATAAGTGATGAATCAACATCCCTGCCTTAGTTCCTAATTTTAGGGAGAAGGTTATGAACATCTGGGATTTTCAACTCTTTTTTGCCTTTATAATTTTCTCTTCTGTTGGTTCCTTGTTTTGTTTTCTTGGTGAGGTATACACATCTTGGAATAATCAACTATATAAACAAGGCAAAAATTCAGAAGGGTTAGGAAAGAAAGAGGAATGGAAACAATAGGGAGAAAAGGAGAATTGCAGGAATTTCTGTCCGTGGCATGAAACATGATGTGTATGCATTGTTGAATGAAAAACGGATTTGCTCTGTAAACTTCTACCCAAGTCACAATAAAGAGGTTTTAAGAAAAAATGTAAGGTTTCCATAAACTTTTGAAGCCCTTTCATTTTTTTGTTTTCAGTTCAACAATACATTATATACGTACTGTTTTATTTCATTTTTAAATCAGTTAATATAGATATTATCTTTTATAACATTTTATTATATTAAATTACATAATTATGGTTAGTAGTGCTCATCTTTATCATGTAAATTCAAATTACTGTAAGCCTGAGAAACTTGTATTTTTGTAAAAATTTCTGTAAAAACTTATATTTTTGTAAAATTTCCTCAGTTTTTATGTGTCTTTACTTAATTTTAATTTTTGAAGGCAGTTTTTCTATTAGATTCTTGGTTGCTTTAATTCTTTGAGCCTTCTTGACTAATTTATTCCACAGCTTCTGAATTTCTTCTCAGAAATGGGGACACTGTTTTCTTATTGGGGTTCCTTGTAAGTACAAAATTGTTTTTCTCTTGCTTTCAAGGTAATCTCATCTTTACCTCTCTACATTTTACCATTACTATATATGACCATTTATGGGACTCTTAGCTTTTCCTAATTTAGAATTTATTGACTCTCCTTGATCTGTTTGTTTTTTAATACATTTGGGAAGTTTCCAACCATATTTTTTTCCCAGTCTCCTCTCTTCTGGTACACACTCATTATTTATGTGTTTATTAGTGTACTTAGAGGGATATCATTGCTGATGTCATATGGATCTTGGGTGAAAAAAGCAGGCAGTTGATTGTGTGGATTATGACAAGTTATGGTCAACATTGTTGAAAATGAGAATTCTGGAACACTTAATTGTACTGATGAGGAACCTATACAAAGACCAAGAGGTAGTCATTGGAACAGAACAAGAGAAGACTGAATGCTTTAGAATCATCAGGAAAGGTGTGTGCCAGGGTTGGAATCTTTCACTGTACTTGTTCAATCTGTATGCCGAGTAGATAATCTGAGAAGCTGGATTTATATGAAGAAAAATGTGGCATTAGGATAGGAGAACGACTCATTAACAATTTGTGTTATGCAGATGATACATCCTTGCTTGCCAGTGTCATGTGGCTGAGTGAATGAAGAAGAACATGACATCAGGATTGGTGGAAGACTCATTAACAGTCTGCATTATGCAGATGACACAACTTTATGCAGATGACACAACTTTGCTTGCTGAAAGCAAAAAGGACTTAAAATACTTACTGATGACGATCAAAGACCATAGCCTTCGGTATGTATCGGTTGCACCATACCTCACCACTGGACCACTATATAACATCATGATCAATGGAGAAAAGACTGAAGTTGTCAAATAATTCGTTTTGCTCAGATCAACCATTAATACTCAGGAAGCAGCAGTCAAGAAGTCAAATGACATATTGCTTTAGGCAAATCTTCTGCATAAGACCTCTTTAAAGTGCTCAAGAGCAAAGATGGCAGTTTGAGGAGCAAGGCACGCCTGGCCCAAGCCATGGTATTTTCAATAACCTCAAATGCCTGCAAAAGCTGAATAGTGAATGTGTAAAAGCGTAGAAGAATTGATGCATTTGAGCTATTCTGTTGTAGGAGAATATTAAAAGTACCATGGACTGCCAAAAGAACAAACCAATCTGTGTCGTAAAAAGTACAGCCAGAAGGTTCCCTGGAAGCCAGAATAGCTAGACTTCGTCCCTTATATCTCAGACATAAAATGGAAGGTTGGAGAAAAAGAGGAAGACCCCCGAGGTAGATTGGCACAGTGGCAGCTGCGATAGGCTCAAATGTAGCAACGATTGTGAGGTTGGCGCAGTACTGGACAGTGTTTTATTCTGTTGTGCATAAGGACTCTGCGAATCAGAACCGACTTGATGGCACCTAAACAACATTCATATCAATGGACAAAAGATTGAAGTTGTCAAGGACTTCATTCTTCTTCGATCAACTATCAGCACTCACAGAAGCAGCAGTCAAGAAATCAAGCAATCTGTTTTATTGCATTAGGCAAATCTGCTGCACAAGACTTTTTTTTTTAATGTTTTATTGTAAATTATGTGATAGTTTACATGGGAGACCATTAGTTTTACATTCATTCTATCATATATCATTTCATTGCCATAGTTACAATCCTGTCCATGCATCATCAACCAACCAAAGGATATACCCTGCAAGCCTACCCCCCTACCACCCCCCCACCAATCCCCCCATGTCATCAGCACACAGCTCCTTTCCTTCTCTGGGTCTCAAGTCCCCAGCCACTCCATCTCTCTGCGTCATCGTTTCTGCCTCCATCTTGGGCATCACTGTTTCTCTGGGTAGGGTCACTCTCTCAGCTTTTCTCCATTGATGGTCCCAGGGCCCTCCGCTCCTAGACTGAAGTTA